TAAATTTCATTTGAGAAAACTTAAGTCTTCATAAGCATTATCTGAGCATAAAATCCTTCTTCTACAGACTTCTATGGATCTATATTATTAACTTGAATAGATACTAGAACAGTTTTTTCTAAATATGCATTTGAAGTAGCTGAATCAAATATATCAAAAAAAACTTTTCTTGTTTACTTTTTTAATTCTTAGTTGAATTAAATTTTTAAGGTCTTTACATACTTGAAATATAATAAAAACTATTGTAAATATCAAAAATTTGGAAAGAATGAGAAAAAGGGGGATGGAATACTATTTTAATATATTCAATGAAAAAAATCATTAGAAAAAATGGTAGAGTGTATATTTGTTCTGAAAAAAATGGTAGAGTTATATCATATGTTGATTGAATTGATTAGTCACATGATCTAATACTCACAATTTTATTGGTAGATTTTTTTTTTTAGATATTTTGAAAAATTGGAAAGGGAGAGAAATGTAATACAGAAAATTAAATTGATATTACCTAATAGTCATTTCTGATAGTTTGGATATAACTGTTATTATTATTTTCCTAGCATTGACAGTTTATTATGATTATTTTTTATAACAAATATCGCATCTGAACTGTTAGAGGTAATTTTATTAGTATTTTTTTCTACTTCTGAAAATTCAGATTTGACTTTATTGTATTTTTAAAAGTCACTTCTGACAATTCAGATGCAACTTTTATTAGTTATTTTCCTAATAAAAAATGTCCTAAAATTCAAAGGCATTTATTATTAACTGAAATTTTAAATCAATTTGAAAATTTCAGATTGAATCCATTCAGTTCAAATTGAATTATAATCCAAAAAAAAATCTTAATCGATCTGAAATTTTTCAAATTGATTTTTTTAGAACTGAACTGAATTTTGTCCCTTATCTTTATTGATAATAATATAGTAATTAGTATATTTATATATATTTTGAATTGTATAAAGAGTATAATAAATATTTATATATTTTTAATTTTTAAATTTACAAAATAATTTGAATTAAATATGTAGATTTATTTTTAATAAAAATTAATAAAAAAGAAAATAATTCAAACAAAACTTATAAAAATTATAATATTAATATACTTCAAATTACTTCAAAATAAATTCATTCTAATATAATAGAAACTTATTAATTTAGAATTAGATATAAATTATTAATATAAATTTATAATAAAATTTATTAACAAATTATAAAATTTGACAAATTGAAATAAAGATCAAATTTTTTTTTCTATATAAATATAAATTAGATAATTAATTAATAATATTTGATTTTAAATCAATTATAATCAATTTATTATATACTTATTTTTTTAATTTTATTTTATATTAAAAAATAAAAAGTAAAGTTTTTGAAATTAAATCAATTTAATATTTAGTTAAATATTTGATTTTAACTAATATTTGATTAATTAAATTATTAAATTAAAAAATCAATAAAACTTTAAATATAAAAAATAAAAACAGTAAAAGTTTAAAATAAAACATTGCTCAAATTTTTATTTTAATTTAAATTATATTTTAATCTAAAATCTCTTTTTTTTTTAAATTTATATCCTATATAATTTTTTACATATAATTTTTATAATTCTTAGAAATATCAAAAATTTCTTTAATTTCTTTAGTTAAGGAAAATTCTGAATATATACTCATTCCAATATCAAAATTTTAAAAAATAAAGTTTTATAAAATACAAGTTTAAATTCTAAAGTTGTGTTACAATAACATTTGTAACACATTCTTCAATTTCAATTAGGCTACAAAATGTGTTTAGAAGCTATGGCTGAATTTTATCAAAAATAGAAATAATTTATCTATCATTATAATCCAAAAATGAGAATTATTTACGTTAATAATTATTTGATTATTTGATTTGAAATTCTATACATTCATACACTACTTATTACTACAATGGATTTAAGTATGATAAAATAATCATTATGCAAAATAATGTGAAATTGTTCTTCTATACCTAAAACGAACTTTATTTAAATACATTTATATGTACATGTATGTGCATATCAGATATGTGCAGGTGTGCAATATGTACGCAATTATGCAGAAAATAAGCAACATTGCGCATGTGCGCAAAATACACCCCAAATTTCAAACCTAATCACAGTAAGGAAGGTATTGTTTTGTTCTCCTAAAGTCTTTCAATCAATTTCACGGTTGTTCCATATAGAAATTCAAAATGCATGGCCCCCAGTAAGCATTACATCATCCAATCTTGATATTTTCTATTGTAAATGAGAATTTTTCTTATTCCATTTTTTTTTTTCATCGATTCTTTAGGAAGACTGAAAAAAGAACTTCTGCGACAGCAAAATAAATTATCAGACATGGCTATATTAAAGTTAGTTAGATTTAACGTGTCAATCAATCTAATCGCACTTGAAATCAGCTGATTGGCCGACAAACACATGTTCGGCTTTGTCGAAGTTATTCTTTATCATGTTGTGTTTTGAATTAAAAAAAAAAGCAAATTTATATTACAATTTAAATTAAGCTTCTAAAGTATCACATAATATAAAATAAAAAATAAATCAAATAAAAATAATCATTTATTTAAAAAATATAGAGAAATCACGTTCTTGAAAAAAAAAAGATATATGGCCCGATAGAGATAATATATCGATTAATATGATGATTAAAATTTAACAACTGATACCATAAGTGGGATGTTATGAGGATTCGGATGAACAAATAAACAAATTCAACAACTAAAACAACTAGTTCTAACATTGATAAAGTCCATCTAACAAGTGACCTTAATCGTTCACTTGTTCATATTGATCCGAGGTGCCAGGCTGCGAAATTAAAAATTTACTATTAGGCAGGAAGTAATATTGCGGCATGTTTGATATTATATATTTTATATTTAGAAAGAAGAGAGTTTTATTTTTAATTTTTTCATGATATACTAGGTTCATGAACAATGAATGATCCAAACTTCCTTCTTTTCTCTTTAACTTATCAGAATTTCATGATTGGTAATATACAATCGGAGTCTATTCAAAAGGGAAATAAGCAACCATGGCACGTGAAACAAATTTAAGTAAATATCATATTTCATTGATTGATCACCGGGGATAAAGAAATCCTTCCCAATTGGGAAGAGTAATGGATCTTGTTTTTCATGCATATTGTGTAACTGCGGATAAATTTTATTATCACTCTTACTAAGGTTTAACGTTAAATGCAAGTGCAATAAATTGGTGCGGCGCAGTCGTTGAGTTCATTCCGATTGATATCGTTACCTTTGTATAATTTGTTAAAATATAAGACGCAAGTATCGAAGAAATTTATTCGGGAAAAGCAAAAGTCTCTTATTGTAAGTTCACCCAGCTTTTTGTGGTTGAAAAATCATTTATATTAAAGGATGTTATTACAAAGATAGATTGATATTTCGACTCGCAATAATAATGCCTTATTTCACGGGGAAAAAAATGAATTTAATTATTATCAGTTAATATAAAAATTTATTTAACGCGAAAAAAAAAACAAATGGGATTTATCGTTGTCATCATCATTGATTAATTTATCCCTGAATACTTTCAAACCGCTTAGTTTAATTTTTCGGCGGCAATTAAAACCAATTCCAATTATTAACATCTGATACTCTGAAAAATAGTTCTTTTTAACTTCACATACTTATCTTTCAAAGTAATGCATTTCCTTGATTCGCATGAAAAATCCGAAAGACATCACGCGATAAGAGATGCCATCAAATAATAGATTTGAATTAGAGAAACATCCAATTTCAATGCGGATGTTCATTCCGACACTGAGATTATCACAAAACAATCTACTGTACATAAATTACTTAATTTAAAAAAATTGATAGGTAATCAAAATTATCGGAATGTGCTCACCGTAAAGCTAATTGTTTTGCAACGTTGTACAGGCATTAATTAGTAAATAAAACAAATTTAACTTGGAGTATTAGATAATTTGAAGAAAAAATACGTAAAGCGGTAAATTTAGGATGATCGTGAATTTAACGATAACGTTGATGTACAAAAAAGGAATCATTAATGTTGACCTTGTGCTTTATGAAAACAAGTTAACGATATTAATATTTTGATAACCCTTTTCCTTTGTTTTCTTTAGAATAGCCTATAAAATCCCTTTGTTGTCGGAAATAAATTTCCGATTAATGAGAACTTATTTCGGATAGATGAAAACCATATTTAGGTTTATATGATTAATTAATCATGCATTGTCTCTAAAAGTTATGTTATTCTTATTTCGGATTAAAAGGTTCTTCAGATGCCCATGATTATATGTGGTGAAATGTTTATTCTCTATATTAGGAAAACGGCGTGAAATTCTATCTATTCTTTCTGTCCCAGAATATAGAGTCATCCTTAAGTTCAGAAACCTCATACCAAGGATCGAGAGAACCAATTATCTGGTTAAGTTTAATCATTTCTCGGTGTGCACTAAGATAAGTAAAGGTGCCAATCAAACCTAATTTAACGATACCGAATAATGAAAGAAGAAAGGAAATTCTAAAAATAATCAAATGTTTTTTTAACATTGTTTACATTCACTATCAGTCGATCAACGGAATGCGAACTCCATTGAAGAAAATCGTGTGAATAATTGTGTCACTCGGAGAGTTCAATTCTTTCCTCCGTGAAATATTATGTTTACAGCTCGATAAAAAGTATTTTTAATTTGAAATTATCAAAACGCACGTTCGTTCTTTATCCGTAAATATGTGTAAAAGGATTTCAATGTATAAAAGTAGTAAATTTGAAAGTCAAGGAACTTAAAAATTTGATAAAATAGATAACAATACTTTTTGAGTAGATCAAACATTCTATTGAGTTTCAAGCTTTGTTACGATCCCAATTTGTCTAAATCAATAAGAGATTATCTATCATAATTGAAAATAATTTAAGATTATATAATTAAATTATTATATATATCAATCTTCTGAGTGACTATTTTTTTTTCTTTTTTAAAAAAATAATGAAATCTGATTTGAGTAATATAGCAGCACCTTTATCAATGATTGAAGAATCTCATAAAAAAGTTGGTGATTTTCAATTCATAATGGAAAACAAACAGCCTGGTAAAGCGACTAATCTCAGACATCGAATTGTCCCCGATATTCCTGCCAATTTCAAAGTTCCTTATCCACCAAAAACCACAGCTGAAGAAATAGTTGAAAAGGCTAAATCAAAGAACAATACAACGAAGTCTCCGAATAAATTTTTAATTTATCGTAAAGAATTCGTTGATGAATTACATAATTATGGTTTTCAATGTTCTATGACAGACATTTCAAAAACCATTGGTGAATGGTGGAAAAAAGAACCAAAACATGTCCAAGACACATATCAAAAAATCTCAACTGAAGCCAATCGGTTACATAAGCAATCTTCTGTTCATTCCATCGCGAAGAAAAAGAATCGTAAGAAAGCATTAATTAAGTCATCAGCAAATCCCGCAGTTGACGTGGGATTCACTCCATTGAATTTATCAGTCCCCGTAAATTTCTCATGCGAGGACAATCTTAACTTTCCACAATTATATGCTTATAATCAAGGTTTATTAAATTTGCAATTTCAACAACCTATTTATCAAGATGGAATTTTTTGGTGATAGATATGCAAATCAATTTTTTTCATTTTTTATCGTTATAATGGAAAATATCGAAAAGGACGAGCTTTTGGCTGTATCTAAACTAAATTATTATTATATTATGGTGAAATTATTTTTCATCTCTGTATTTTTTTTATTGAATTTTGTATACTTCAACTTGTAAAATTATTTCATTTCATTGTAAATAACTTATATATAAATATTAAATACTATTTGGTATTAATTTTTCTTTTCTAAGTATAGACGGATTAATTTTTTTTACATATATTTCTTAATAACGAACTTTAATGAATAAAAAAAAATGAGTTTGTTGAAGTTTAAAGAGGCATTATATTCCAATTGAAAAAATAATCAAATGAGCAATAATTTATGAAATAAATCAATTAATATTTAAAAAATGTGTTTACTCTATACAAAACAGTTTGTTTGAATTGTTTTTTTTCTATCTATTGAAAGGATAAGAAGTGAACCTTCTTCAAAATTTCTGGTTACTTTCATCAGTACCATTTAAAAGTTATATTTTTCTCTTCGACCTTTTATTATGAAAACTATATCTAGATCTTAGAACGGATATCTTTCAACCAGTCTTCAAACATTAGAATAAAATTTTCGTGACTAAAATTTATGAAAGATAATTGAATAATTTTCATATCTTTCGCAGAAAATTCAACGGCATCATATAAGGAGGGAAAATGATATAAATATGTTAATTATCCTCCTTTATTTTATAATCCAGACTAAAGATTGCTATCCTAAACTATTAAAAATTAGTTTCGGTTAAACAAAACTATTTTTAGTAGTTTCGCCTATTAACTAAACTAGTTTTGACACATAACTAAAAAAGTCTAAACTACGGAATTTTAGTTTCGAACAGCAACACAATAAGATATTAAAGGAATTGGTTTAAGTGCCACACCTAAATTAAAATTTTGTATAAACTTTATTTATTTTATTTTATTTTTTATCCTCAACTCGTTCAATGATTTATTTTTTTATATTTTCTGCATTTGATGAACTTTAATAAAATTATGATTAACGAACGTACTAAAGTTTTAAAGCTCATTATGATTAATATAATCTTCCTCTTACGTAATCGAACATAACTTCTTTGTTTTTTTTCCAATACTAGCGCTAGACCATAGTATTCGATGTAAAAAAGTATTTTACTAATAATTCATGGAATGTAGCAAATTACTACATATGGGAACGTTTCTAGTAAAATCAAGTTATGAGGCATAGTAAATCATATGATCCGTAATGTGATTTTACTGGAAACGCTTCCATATAGTAATTTTCATCATTTCATTTTGTGTCACAAATCCCACATGATTTTATTCATGTCAATCATTCTCAAATATGACTTATATATTTTAATAATTAATTTCCTTTTTTAGAGAAAATTAATTATTAAAAAAGTAGTATAAGATTTAACATAATAAATATTTTTCATACTTTGTAAAATCGAACTTTTTCAAAATTTATCTAATATAACTTTTGAAATTTATTAATATAAAGAGTTAAATTATATTATTTAAAAGCTTGTTTAAAATTTATAAATAAAATACATCATATTATAATTAAACTAATAAATTTTATTTTTATTTTATTTTATTTTATTTAGCAATTAATTCAGTATTATATTAAACTAATTATAAATTTACTAGATAAACAGAAACTTTTAAAGTCCATTACTCTATTTATAAATTAGTATTACCTAAAGGTAGATATTATAAAATACAAAAATAATCATATAATTAAAAAAAAAACAAGTAAGGATAGGTAATATAGGTGAAGAAAAGGATTTTTTAGAGTGTAATACAAAATATCTATTATAGTAATAATATACTCATAAAAGGTTGAAATATTATTAGAATCATCTTTAAAAATATAATTTTCTAATAAAATAATTTGAATTAAAAGTTTTTAATCAAAATTTTATATTATTAGAAATATAAATGTTGTCACTGAGAATAATTTTCTTTGTATCGCATGTGTTTTGCTAAATTACTTTATTGCAACAAGTAAATTCCTTATTGTCAAACTTTACAACCTTAGGGAATCTCACGTCTTACAGGTATCTGAAATGCCTTAGAACTACTTCACTTGACTTTACATACTTAAAGGTTTAGAGACTCAGGAAAAACGTAGAGAATTTGTTTATTCTAAGTAATGAACTCAAAAGCAAGTTAGTGTAGTAGTTTATGATCAAATTTTAAATGATGGACACGTAAAAGGGAAAAGTAATTGTTTTTCAAAGTTGATTCCTTTATTTATTACTTGAAACTCATAAGTATTTAAGAACTTACAAGAGAGTTAATTTACAATTTAAGCAAAAAGCTATTATATTTATACAAAATTAATTTGCTACAGTTAACTAGTTATTACATTATAAACTAACTAAATTTGTAATTACAAGTGCTAACTAATATAATGATAATAATAATACGTAATAACAAAAATAATAATTATAATAGAGATAATATAATAATAAAAATAATAAAGATAATGATAATAATTAAAATAATGGAAATATATGGAATTAGGAAAATCTAATGAATCATGATAATCATGCAAATCTGTTAAATCCTAAAAATCCTAAGAATCCTATAGATTTTGCAGATCATTTGACACAGTATTTGTCAGACTTAGTATGTCGTCATTCCATTAGTTACTATTGATTGATGTAATAAAGTTAATTTCTGACGTTAATAATGTATATCATTATATTACAATATAGGAAATTATTCTCAATCCTATTTTAGACAATATTAAAAATATATAATATTTATTTATTTAACTTGCTTATTTAAATATATTTTAAAATTGATAAAATATCTAAACCTTTTCTTTTATAAGTTTTTTTAATAAAGTTTTAATATAATTTTACTATTTGAATATTTTATTTTTATCTTTATTAAATTTTATAAACTTTTTTATTAAAATGTTTAATATAACTTTTTCAAGTTAATCTTTTTGATCTTTTTATATTTAAATAACTTAATAAATTTTAAATTAAAAAATTATAATATAAAAAATTATTTAATAGTAAAAAAAAATAATCAAATATTAAAGATAAGGGTAGTGACATATATTACCTAATATCAATTTATTATAAGCGTCTATCCACACACCCCCAGGTAAGATATTCCAATCACGTGAACATCGATCACTTTCCTTTTATAGAATTTGTATATC